TTCTTGGACTAGTGCACCGCTCCTGTGGGCCTCAAGATAAATAACTCCACAAGGACACTATCCATGTTGGAAACTGCCAAATGTGACACACACACACACACACACCATGTGCACCACAGAGAATGTGAAGAAACCCCTGAATTTCTGGATGTAAAAATATCTTTCCAGTTGGAAGTAAATGCTGATGTAAACTTAAAAACAGATAATGACCATATACTGTGGTGGGTGATGATTTTACGAGTTACAGGTCCTAAAGGTTTTCACTGAGAGGATCCTTGGTGATAAACATCAAACATTTTAATATGAGCCACTGATGGGGTTGTCTGTGTGTTTTCTTACAGTGATTTAAGAATCATTAAAGCAAAGGGCAACATTTTTCAATTATTTCATCAGATGCATTTATCAGTTATCTCCTGGATGCTTTTCAATCCAGGTTCAAGAGTAACCACTGCAGAGGCTCACAATGCTTAATGGAACCAACAGTCTAACCAGTCATCTTATGGGTGATAAACATGACTGAAAAATCAGCTAACCCAGGCGATGTGGCTCCTCAGTGGCAGAGCTAAGACTAGAACTCAGATCTTGATTCTTGGACTAGTGCACCGCTCCTGTGGGCCTCAAGATAAATAACTCCACAAGGACACTATACATGTTGGAAACTGCCAAATGTGACACACACACACACACCATGTGCACCACAGAGAATGTGAAGAAACTCCTGAATTTCTGGATGTAAAAATATCTTTCCAGTTGGAAGTAAATGCTGATGTAAACTTAAAAACAGATAATGACCATATACTGTGGTGGGTGATGATTTTACGAGTTACAGGTCCTAAAGGTTTTCACTGAGAGGATCCTTGGTGATAAACATCAAACATTTTAATATGAGCCACTGATGGTTATAACTGTTTTATCAATTCTGTTGTGCCACTTTGGAATTAAACCATGCTTTTGATCATGGTTATTTTATCTCTTCAAGTTAAACGGCTACTAAAAACAAAAATATTGAGGGAAATGCAGTTTTTGGAAGAAATATTCAACATATTTTTCTTTTGTATCAAAAACTTCAAGAATAACAATAAAAAGTTATATTTCTCCATCTTGCTTTTTGGCACTCTAAGCTTTTACCTTATTCAACAGTAGTACAAATGCAAGATTTGACAGGTTTTTTTTTTTTTTTTACATGTCAAAAGATACCATTTTAACAGTTAAGTTTTGCTACATTTGGGAGATACCAACATACAATCAAATCAAAGTATGTGTGATTTGGAAACCAGGAAAAAAAAATTAGAAACAAACCACCTCTAGCTGTATTTACTTTGAATGTTGTTACAATATCCTGTAGATTACTATTGTAAGGGGTTGACTCTATCACAAATCAAAGCAAAATTTTTGTTTGTAGTTTTTCCCCCCCAAAAACTGATTCTAACAAGTACAATTAAGAAATAATTTAACAAAAGCTGACATGCATGTCCTCAAAAGAGAGACATAGATGGAGTGAGAAACTCTATGCCATGGACACCTTCCGTGGATCATTAAAAATATCAGTTTTATATACTGGGCACCTTGACTGGTGCATGCAAACAGCAAGGCAATTCCTCTCCATCTGAGAACCGAGAACTCTGTAAACATAAAGCCAAATCATAGTCCAATTGCCACAAGTGCAAAACCACCCCACACAACCACCTGTTTGTCAACCTTGGAATGAGAGCCTCAGCCAATCAATTGTGCCATACATCATCCTTCAGAATTCTTTGGTTCATTTTAGTTTAGATTTAAAAGTAAAACTTGCAAAAGATTATAAGCATCTTTTTTTGTAAAAGTCATAAACTGCCATTGAAGTTGTCAGCCCTGCAGTGGTTCTCTAGCCTAGCTGTATATGTCAGGGATTTTGAAAGGTCCTCAGGTGATTCTAAAGTGCAGCCAGCATTGAGAGCCCCTATGTATGAGGGAACAGATCTCAACTATCAGGTGGATGTGGCTCTTCGATCTGAGGGACCCGGAATGTTTAATAGAGACAATAAGAAACCACACATTTGCTTTTTATTTCCCCTCAAGTTACAGTTACTGTAGGTCGCTTAGTATAAGATGGTTTGGATTTTCTCCACCTGGCTGTGAGCAGTTGCAGAGAAGCATTCGCACAACCACTGCAAACCCTGCATCAAAGTAGGTACCACTTCCTGCACATTTCAGAATCTTATGCTGAGGGGTGTGAAGTACTGTAAGGAGTCGGAATTAACATGCTGACAATCCTCTCTGTTTTGTGATAGGCTTCAAAATAATCCCCAAAGTATGTATCACAGGATTCCCTAAAATATAGTTTCTTTTCTTTCAAGGTATTTGCATCTTTGGTTTAGCTCACCTGTTATATCACTGAACCATACTTTATGAATACCATTAATAGGTTGAAAACATCTGAATCATTTCTAACAATCCTGAATGAAGATTCGTAAGATTAAAATAAGCTTCTAAAGCCATTCTTGTGGCTTTTATGTCAAAGGACATGTTAAGGACTGCCACTTATTGGGGGCTCTGAAGGTGAGAACAGGTTCTAGGTGGGACGAAGGACAGGTTAGACCAGGAGTGAATGAGAGAGAGATGCGCAGGAAGAACTCTAAATGTAGCTGACAAAAAACAGCAAATGCTGCTCAGGGAAACAGTCAGAAGAGAAACTCTGACCCCTGGATCAAATGTTCAGCCAGGGTAAAGCAAATTCCATCTTGTCTTCAATCCCTTCCTACCCAGGACCTGCTACATAATTCTGGGACCTGATGCAAAATGAAATTGTGGGGCCCCTTGTTCAAAGAGTGTTAAGAATTTCAAGCAGAGCATTCAACCAATCTCGGGTGCTTCTGAGTGCAGGGCCCTGTGAGACAGCAAGGACTGCAGATCCATGCAGCCAGCTTGGTCCCTGCATTACAGAAAGGTGCTATCAATCCCCATGCCACCCAGGCTTCCATTAAGGGCACACTGGATGTCCCTCCCTGACCCAGCACTCCATTTTCATTTTGATAAGGATGAATTCCATTTATTATCTCCTGTCACAAGGACCAAATAAAAATGGCTACAAAATACACTTAATATCTTTGAAAAATAGCTTGTGATTTGTTTTCTTATAGGCACCATCTGCACTGTGAAAAATTTCATTGGCTACAACTCAGTAAAGGATAAAAATATCTGATCCAACAAACAATGCTGACTTTAAAAACAAAAACAAAAAAACCCCAAAACAAGCAGTGCTTACTTCGAATGTTCAAAGAGATACCAGTGTGTGCTGACAGAATGACAGAGTGGGGGGGAAGGAAGGAGGGGACACAGGAGATGGGGGGAGAGGGAGACAATAGCACCTAAAAGAAGGCAGACAAAGTCTCCTCCTGAAGGCCACATGACCCTCGTCCCTCGCAAACTTTTAGGCTGTACCTGCCATTTCAATTATTCCAACAAATGTGCTCTCATATCTTCAGCAGCAGTTCAAGTAAGGCATAACTGTTCACAATCTGGGGCTCAGTCTTTTCCATTAACTTTCTAAGCATGAATTCTGGTAACAGATTATTCCATGTTGTGGTAAAGTCTTACATATTGTTGTTAGCTAGGAATTCATGTTTTTCAATTTGGGAGTGTGTGGTTATTTTCCAATAAATAGTGAAGAACATTTCTTGGCCTTAAAACATACAGGTATAATTTTAGGAGGACGGAAACATTTAACTAAGATTTTGGATAAATTTATCATATATAACATTGAAAGACTATTAGAAAGAGTTCATAGTGGTAATATATACATTATTGGATCACTGATGCACACAAACGGATGCGTGCTAATTCAAATTCTGTAATCACCTGCATTTAAAATATTCCACCCATCATCCCTTCCCAAAGAAGTTTTTCTTCCTTTTATTTAGACTTACCTTGACAAAAAAAATAATATAGGGGTACTCCTTCCTGATACTGGGCTGAAAGAAGCAGAGGCTTTTACCCTGTCCTGCTGGAGCAGGTGAATTACGTGTGCCTTCAGGCTACTCCATCTGTATGGCACCTGCCTCAGCACCCTGAGCAGCACTGCCTGGAGGGTTTTGTTTTTGTTTTTAATGATGACGATCAAATTAGAATCAGGTGTTCCAATTTCTGCACTTTCGAAACATATTAGCATCCAAACACTGAAGGCTGATCCCTAATTTCTTTAACTTTAGCAAGTGAGTCAACGTAAAATTTTTTGAGGGACTACTAAAAATTTAACTACTTTGTACTTTAGATTTATATTTTTATATGATCAATTTTGAATGCTGCTATTAGAATCACAAAATACAGAGAAAAAAGTGTGTGTATATATATTAGATATTTTATAAGTTATGAAATAAATAACACTAAAAATAAATGTCAAATCATGAGTTCAACTTTGCCTTCCCTATCTTTTAAATATAAATATATATATTTTAAATTATGAATTTAGACTTTTCCCCCTAGATTTTTAAAGCATTCTCCATGAAATTCTCAAAATTACAAATAAGAAAGAACTCTGGATTTCAATCACTAGTGTTCTAAGCACAGAATTCTCATTAAGCGTATGAAGACAAATAAATAGAGCTCTCTCTCTGCCTAGAGTCTATGAAGATTTCTGTGATATATTGTAAAGATTCCTCAATGGTTAAATATATTTTTCAAAAAAATAAATCTCATGATGTCTGAACATTAAGATAGTAAAGTAGGACATTTCCATCAGTTAATATCTTTAATATTTTTTATGTAGAATATACTATTTTTTTCTCCACCAAAATAACAATATATTTGGAGGCAGGAACATTTATGATTTTAAATGCACTTTTAAAATCTTAGAGTAGAACCACTACTCTAGTAATACTTGTAATAAAATTAAAATAATTTTAAACATTTCCATAAAGAGTTAGGGGTACCAAACTCCTTAATTTCCCCTAGGGATAAAAATACCCATAAACAATTCCAGAAGTTTCCCTTTTAATATATTAGGCATGGGAGAAACTTGCTTCAGAGTGGTATTTACTCCTCAAAAGGGCTCTAGTAATATCCTTAAGGAGATATTAGATAAAGCTCACTTAATAGCCCTTTGCCCCACATATTCCAGAAGGTTCTACAAAAGCTATTAGATAGTCATTTCTGGTTTTGGAGAATAAAATGATCCAACTCTTGGTAGAATTTCCCCCAGATGATTTCCCCTCTTTGAAATATCTCATCCCCAAAAGAATAGAAGCTCTGCTTTCATAGCATTTCAAGCTTCTATATTTCTGGGACATAAAAGTCTAAACTAAGAAATGGAATTAGATCTCCAGGTTGTAAAAGCACAGAAATAAATCAAGGGAAATCTGGAGTTAACCCAAACAAAAATCTGTAAAATGTGTGGTGGCTGCTTTCCTTTCCTCTCAGACCTTCTTGTCCTTGCTCGCTCTGCCTTCTTCTTTCATGGAAATGTAGGTCCTTCAGCACTGGGTTACCAGCAGATGTCCCAGACTGTGCCACACCGAACTTGGAGTGACAAGGAGCTTCACCAGTTGTGCCCCTGCTGATGTGAAAGAAGAAAGGCCTCTGTCCCTTTTCTCTCTTTCAGAGGCATCAGGATTGTCCCATGAGACTGGGTCAAACGCTTTATGTCTGATCCTTTTCTCGAACTTCTTGTAATCGTTTTTCGAGGCGATCTAATTTGGCAAGATTTTCCTTCAGCAGTTTGCTGTCTGGAACCAGCTGTAAGGCTCTCTCGTAGTAAACCCTTGCAGATACGTAGTTTCCCTGTGGGGGAACAGAGAACAATTATATTCTGATCCATCAAGGAAGGGGGAGTCTAAGAAATCGACCCTCTACCCAGTGTAACATTAATGTTCTCAATATGGAAATCCTGTCTGCAGGTGTAATTTTATCCTTATCAGTTGGTGCTTTTGCAGAATCCACTGAAGTACCAGACCAGCTGGAGACTGTGAAGGATAACAATTATACTGTAAGGTTAAGTGGTAGTAAAACATGTTGTACTAATGCAGGGTGCAAGGCTATCATTTCATGGTGTTCTCATGGGCAGTTCATTTGTAATCAAATAGAGCCATGGTTATAAATTCATATTATTAAGAGAGAAAAGGAGAGACAGAGAGAGAATGTTTTTGAAACTGCAGGAGTAATCATTGAATAGTTTCGGTATCTGCTGTTATCTACTTAGTGGCAAGAGTTATTCTAATCTTCAACTTAAAAAATAAAAGCAACTTTTGCCTAATACAGACTTTAATGCAAACATAAGTTTTTATACAATGAAAAGAATTGATAAGAATATGAGGTCAAATTTATCCACTACCCAAGGTGTGTGGCAATATGTACCTGCAGGATACGCTCAGTGCAGAAGGGAAGGGAGGTCTCTATGACCTGTTAAGTCTCACCCATCCCCATCCTCTGTCGGCCCCCATCTCTTTTGTTTAATGACTCTTTAACTAGCAACCAATGTGTGCTTGGTCCCACATGGTCGGTGGCAAATTGGTCACAATTATTAGCTTTTTCCAGCGCCTCTTCTGCTACTAAATGTATTATCTGCCTTATTTGGTCCTCCCTCTTTCAGATGTGTCCTGTAGTCTCAGAACTAAGATTGTTAGAGTTCTCCCCATTCCAGAAATTATAAATTTGCTCTTCCTTATTCTACATCTTTCATGTAGATGAACGCCACTGACTGTCTAAATTTCCATCACAATTTAAAATTGTATCTCTTGGAATGAAAATAGTATGTGGCAACTAGTATTTACAGAATGCTTAACTATCTTCCAAATGAGTCAATATGTGTCAAAAGATTAGACATGGCATTGGGAAAATATAGGAAAATGGTCAGGGCCCCTCAGAAGTTCGGAATCTTGACGAGCATTTGATGTAAATATGCACATGTGTCCAGATGTTCCTTGGCTATTGACTAATGTAATTGTGCATGTGCACCCAGGTGTCCTGGGTTATGGACTTAAGTATAAAGGACGAGTGGCTCTGATCCACAGGGCCCCCTGTCCCCGGGGGGCTACAGGGAGGCCGCTACTGCTGCTGGAGGCTGTTGCTGCCAGGGCACCCTGGACCCTCCGAGAGGCCACCGCCACCGCTGGACCTGTAAGCTTCTGCTGCTGTTGCTGAAGACTGAGCTCATGTCGTCTGCCAATGGCTATTGGGATCTTTCCCCAGTTACCTAGCGTGGACCTGCGTTTGAGGGGTCTGGTGACCCAGTCTGTACAGTGGGTTTGAAGGGTCTGGCCCTAGCCCTGACAGTACAAATGGAAACTTAGTATGACTAAAATAATGAAATGTTTTGGCTTTAGTTATGATTTGCCTTACTTGACAACTGGCGTAGTCGTGTAGCTTTACACATGGCCTGACACATAGTGAGCGCTCAATGTGATATTATCACTACTGTTATTATTAAACGACTGTCCAGGCTCTGTGTAAATATTGTCTATTTCTTCCAGTTTTCACTTCTCTTACTGGTGAAAGAGATAGTGGAAATGATGGAACAAGAAATTGTACGCTGGGAATCCAGGCGCTGGCATCTGGCATGTGCAACAAATGAACGTATTTCTGATGATTAACACTGACTGTGAGGAGAGGCTAACCAGATTGCTGAATACGTGGGAACCTGAATTTGCTACATTCAATTATTATTTTTTCAGCTCAAGCATTTATCTTCCAAGTGTCTTCTGATTTTTGTGAAGTTTAGCACATACATGCAGACAACTGCACATCTGTGGCTCTTAGAGTGCTCTCAACATGTGCGTTTCTACTGCAGTTGATTTTGAAATTGTTTTTCTGGGAGATTTCTCTGAATTTAGGCTTTGGCCTGGTGTCTTGGCATTTTCTCTGATTACCAGGCTTCTCTGTTCTTTAATATAAAACATAGTTCATTTTCTCTCCCTCAGATTGTTCTTTTCTTGATTAAACTGGAAACCTTATTTTTTAAAAATGTTATATCTCTTCAGTCAATGTCCACTATTTCTTAGATGCTAGGTAGGGAATCTGAATTATTAAATTTCTAGAACTGTGCTAATATAATAGTCATTAGCCACATGTGGCTATTTAAATTTAAATGTTACAATTAATTAAGAATTCAGTGTCTCGGTTGTACCAGCTGCATTTTATCTGTTCAACAGCCACATGTGGTTAGTGACTACTGCCTTGGACAGTGCAGATATGGAACATTTCCATGATCACAAAAACTTCTACTGAACAAAATCTTTCTAGAAAATGCATATTACTGTCATAAGGCAGTATTGAAAATAGTACTTGGTGATATGGCCCAATCAGAGCTGATGGAACTCTGATTATAAAGAATGTGTTATAGCTTTTTTGGTCTACCCTTTTCATCCTATATAAAACTTCATAGAAAGGATTATCTTTTATTAGCAAGTAGCATGAGCAAGAGACAACCATGACACTCACTCCCCTCTCCTCATCTTTTTGTCACCTCCTTGCAAAGCCTTGTTGCAACTCTCAACCTTGCCACAGTCCTCAGGTCTGCCTAAGCTTCCCCCAGGCTCAGGGAAGGAGTAAGGCCAGGAATGGGATAACATTGCCGGTTGCACGCACTACTTGGCAATGAAAAGACACAGAAAGTTCATGATTGTCCTTTAAGACCTCATAAGGACAACGCTGCAGTTTAATGGTGGCATCAAAATGACCTCAGCCAAGCCATGTGCCTTCTCTATTTACATTAGATTGCATCATATGAATTGACTGATTAGACCATTTCTAAACTGTAAATGTGGCAATTTTATACTGTTCAACCTAATTCATGGTGTCCACAAAGACAAAAATCAGATATAGTAAATTTTAATCAATGTAGTCATATTTTATAATAATATACTCAATAGGTCCTCCTTCAATCTTCAGACACTTTTCCAGGGGAAGTACCTCT